TATGTGTCTGGCGCTTTAGCCACTTGAGCTATAGGCGCCAAGTCCGAAAAGATAACTTTAAATATAATTTATTGCCCAGGAGGATATTAACCAGTTTTGCATATAACAAATTTATTTCAGAATTCCTTTGACCAATTAATTACATAAATCTTTCTCAAATTTGCCTTTGAGTCAATGGTTTCATCATTAATTAAACAGCTGAATAAAATCTTCAATACATGCTCATTTTATATTTACTAATGAGAAAGCCAAGTTATAAATTTTTTAAAAATCATACTTTAGCACATAGTAGACCTTATAGATTATACAAAATAAATTATAAAACAATGAGACAGAGTAATTACTCTCAGGAAGTCTAACAGCTGTGCTATGACATATGACAAGATGGAACTATCATTTAATTCAACAAAGAACATTTGCCGTAAATTTCTAGAGATTGCTGAAGCTTCATAAAACAAAGGGTTTATGGGCTTGGCATGTGGTTCACACCTATAATCTTAGTACTCTGGGAGGCCCAGGCAGGAGGATCAGCTGGGTCAGGAATTTGAGACCAGCCTTTTCTATTCTAAAAATAGAAAATGTAGCCGGGCATGGTGGTGCCACCCATAGTACCAGCTACTGGAGAGGGTGAGGACAGAGGATCACTTGAGCCCAGCAGCGGGAGGTTGCAGTGAGCTATGATGATTGCAAGAAGCAACAGAGTGAGACTCTGTTTCCAAATAAGCAAACAAGAAACAAACAAAATTGTGTTATGTATTATAATGTTTTATAGGGGCAAAAAATGGGGGGGGGGGAAGTGCTCTGGATAAAAATCTATCTTAGATACATGGGGGAACTAATTATTTAATGTTTATTCAATGACAATATATAATAAGTACTATTGTGATTCATAGCAAAACCCAGATTTTTTGTTTTACAGATGAGTTCTCACTCTGTTGCCCATACTGGAGTGTAGTAGTGCAATCATAGCTCAACGATGCCTTGAATTCCTGTGCCACTGTGCCTGGCTACAAAAACCAGATTAAGAGCTCATCTGATTTCTTTTGAGCTGCTTTTCCCTCCCTAGGGTAGAGTTGCTACAAATCTTTGCCTTGTTGCTCAGGGTTGGTTAATCACTCAGTCACAAATAGGATACATCTACTAGGTCCCAGGCTCTGGGAATACAACAGAGAGCAAGTGAATAGTGTCCCTAACCTTAGGGTTGCTGTCCAGAAGGGATGATACATGTTCAAATCACTGCTAATAAAAAGAATATGAGTTCCATGAGAGCATGGGTTTTTTTTTTTTTAAACTTTATGTCCAATTTTATTTTATTTTTATTTATTTTTTTGGCCCTACTCCTTGAGCCACAGGTGCCACCCGGTTTTTTTGTTTTGTTCACTACTTTGTCCCAAGAACCTAGAATAGCTGACATGCTATAGTTTTCTCTGTAAAAATTTATTGAATTTATAATTCTTAATTAAACAAGTAAAGAGCTGATAAAGAATATAGGGTACACTATATGGTGTAGCTTAGACTATAAGGGTTAGGGAAAGGTTCCCTGAAAAAGTGATATTTAAACTGAAACCTGAAAAGCAAATAAAATTAACCTGGCAAAAAGAAAGGAGGCTATCTTCCCATCCTCTGTACTTCCTCACACTAACCACATGTTAATTGGGACTGATGATTTCATTATCCAGCTCTGTGGTTTGCTTTGAGAGGTCAGGGACCAAGTCTATTTGTCAACAGAATCTCCGAATCCCTCGTACCTAGCACATAGTAGGGACTTTCAAACAAAAGGAATAATTTTTGAGAAGGAAACCGAAACTTATAGCATCTGCCAGTGGTATAATTACAGCTTCTCAAGGAGAGGCCATTCTGTTTAACATGCACAAGAATCTGATGAAAATTAAGAAAATATTTACCTGTCATAAATCTTAGCAATTCTAAGTTCTCCTCTTCCTTTTCTCAAACTTATTCTTGTTGTTGAAGCATGAGCCAGGATGTGTCCTCCAATAGGTTTTTTGGGGTCTGCTTGAAAGCTGAATTAAGAAAACAAAACACCTCAGGTTTCATCATAAGGACTATTTATAGTGTTTCCCCCAAATAAGACACTGTCTTATATTTATTTTTTCTCAAGAAGACACCCTAGGGCTTATTTTCAGGGGATGTCTTCCTCTCCACGCCGAAATGCATGGCGTGGCTATGCAGCGTATCTGCATCAGCAGGTCTTATTATCAGGGTAGGGCTTATATTTAACAAATG